CTCGATTCTCGCAGGGATCCTTCGAACAATCCCCGCGTTCATGACGAATCCTCCGGAACCCTGGAAGAATCATCACGCATCGTCAAGAATGCTTCAGCAACGAACCTTCAGGACGTCCCTGGAATCCTTCCGGAGATCTCAGTGGACTCCTCTGGACACTTTCAGGATACCTCAAAGACCCGCAACAATCTGCTGGCATCGACGGGAATCCATCGAATGACCTCAGAAATCCTTCGGGGACTTAGGAGCCCGAGAGAATTTTCACAACATTGGAAAGAAGTTGACAAGACTCGTCGGGGAAAACTGGGGCTCCTGAAGATTTCTTGAAGTGTCTTATAATAATATGCAGGGAGCCGTCGGGATCCCGAGGTCCTCCTCGGAATCTTCATGAAACCGCAGGAATCCTTTGAAAACGATTGGAATAATCAGGCGTCCACGGGATTCCCCCCGATTGCTTAGGAATCCCTTTTGAACTGTCTGGGATCCTTCGGAATCATCAGGAATCTTCAGGAAGCCCCACGAAGCAGTAAGGACTCCTGAGCACCCCTCAGGACTCCTCAGGGATCTTTCATGATGCCTCAGGAACCCAAAGGAATTCTGAAGGAACCCATATCATAATAGTTCAGGAATCCTTCTGAACACCCTCCCCAATCTTCGAGGAATCCTCAAGATGTCTGCAGAAACCTTCAGGATCACTCAAGAATCTGGCAGGCACTCTGAAAAAGGATTCCAAGATTTTCATAGGATACTCGGGGGACTCCTCCTCTGGATCCACGCAATGATCCTTCAAGAAATCTCCCGGATACCCCAGGAAACTCAAGAATCCTAGAAGAATCATCCGGTATCTTCAGACATGCTTGAGAATAAAATCACCGGGGGCCCCAAGGATTCTTCCGGGCATCTAAATGCAATCGCCAGGAAACTTTCCGGAATCCTCAATAACGAATGGAAATCTTCAGGCACCCGTGGGGATCCGCCAGGAATCCTGCAAGAATCTCTGAGAAACCTCAGAAGTCCTTCGGATCAGGAATCCGCAAGAATCTTCAGGAAGCCTGAAAGAATCGTTCAGGAATCGCCCGGAACCCGCAGGAATCCTGAGGAATCCTACAGGCATCCCAAAAGAATCTGCAGGAACCCTCTCGGGGAATCCTTGCGAATTCCCAAAAACCCGTCAGAAACGATTGGAAACCTCAAGGATCCACGGGAATCCCCCAGGCTTCTCAGAAATCCCTCAAAACTGCCAGGGATTCTTCCAATATCCGGAATAACTCGCAGGAGTCCGTTGAGTATCCTTAAGGCTGCTTCCGCACTCCCAAAAATTTGAAAACCCCCAGGACCCCACAAAGACCCCTAGAAACCTTAAGGAATCCGCATGAACCCAAGGAAACCGAAGGAATCCTGCATGGATGCTTCAAGAATCCGATTTAGGAATCCGTCAGGAAGCATAATGTAATCCTTCAGGATGCCACAATGTAATCCTGAGGGATCCTCCTGAAGCTTCCAAGACTCGCCGGAAACCCCCAGAAACCTCTTCGGCTTTTTTGAAGAAGCCTCAAATCCGCAGGACTCCCTCAGGAAGGAGGGAGCGCGTTTCACGAACGCTTGCCTTGGGAACATTCGGCGGCGCGTTTGGGCCTGGGCCCCCGTCCCCCAGCATTCGGCGCCGTCGAACAGAACCAAGGGGACTCTCCTCTCCTCCCCCTCCCCCAACCCCCCCCGACCTGGCCTGGACCCGGCGCGCTGACGCAAGCGGCTGGGGCGAAGCGGCTGGCAGCGCCGACGCCCGCACCCGCGCCCACACCTACACCCACGTCCACGCCAACGCCCACACCCACGCCCACGCCCAGGCCCACGCCCGCGCGCACGCCCACGCCAACGCTCACACGCACGCCCACGCCCACGCCCGCGCCCACGCCCACACCCACGCCCACGCCAATGACCACGGCCACGGCCACGGCCATGTCCACGGCCACTCCCGCGCCCAGGCCCAGGCCCAGGCCCAGGCCCTCGCCCACACCCACGCCCAGGCCCACGCCCGCGCCAATGCTCACACGCACGCCCACCCCCACACCCGCGCCCACGCCCACACCCACGCCCACGCCAACGGCCAAGGCTACAGCCACGGCCACGGCCACGGCCACGGCCACGGCCACGCCCGCGCCCACGCTCACTCAGCCACTCCCGCGCCTGGTCCAGGCCCAGGCCCACGACCACGCCCACACCGAAACCCACAATCATACCTACGCCCGCACGGCCGCCCACACCCACGGCCACGGCCACGGCCACAGCCACGCCCACACCCACGCCCAAGCCCACGTCGACGCCAACGCCCGCGCCCACGCCCACACGCACGCCCACACCCACGCCCACACGCACGCCCACGCCCACACGCACGCCCACGCCCACACCCGCGCCCACGCCCACGCCCGCGACCACGCCCACGCCCACGCTCACACGCACGCCCACGCGCTCCCACGCCCATGCCCACGCCCACGCTCACACGCACGCCCACTCCCACACCCGCGCCTACGCCCAGGCCCAGGCCCAGGCCCACATCCAAGGCCAGCCACGGCCACAGCCACGCCCGCGCTCACGCCCACACCCACTCCCGCGCCCAGGCCCAGGTCCACGCCCAGACTCAGGCCCACGCCCACGCCCAAGAACACACCCACACCTACGCCCACACCCACGCCCAGACCCACATCCACGCCCACGCCCACGCCCACTCCCAGGCTCAAGCCCCGGCCCAGGCCCGCGCCCATGCCCACGCCCATGCCCACGCCAACGCTCACACGCACGCCCACGCCCACACCCACACGGCCGCCCACGCCCACACCCGCGCACGCGCCCTCGCCCACGCCCACACCCACGCCGACGCCCACGCCCACGCCCACGCCCACGCCCACGCCCATGCCCGCGCCCACGCCCGCGCCCGCGCCCTCGCCCTCTCCCATGCTCAGGCCCAGTGCCACGCTCACGCCGGCGCAGGCCTGAAGGGGGGAGGCTCGAAGCTCCCCCCCCCTCCAAGCGCCCACAAAACGTTGTTTTTTCAGGAAGACAGCGAGATCTTGAAATCCATGGGGCTCCTCAGGGATCCCAGGAAATCCTCCGTATCCCTTTGGATCCTCAGGCCCACGCCGGTAGGCACCCCCCCTACTGCGACGCGACGCCGTTGGCACCCCCCAGAGGGGGGGCCTCCAGCGTCGCGCGGCGTCGCGGAGGGGCGGCGAGGGGGGGGGATGCACGGGGCCGCAGCCCGGGTTCACTACTATCTGCTCGCGCGCCATTCAACACACATATCACAGACCCTTCGGTACCCGCCCTCTTCGTTTTCGATCGAACCCCCATTGGGGGCATATTTCCCTGACGTGCATTTAGCGAAGCACCTAAATCAAGGGGGGAAAGGATGGAAGGGGGAGGGAGAAGGATGGCGTAAGAGAGAAACTAGCAGGAGAGGGGCTAAGAACAGAGAACACTTTTTGGATTCGCGGGTCGAGAGGGCACCTCTTCCGGTCGAAGCTAAGCGGGCCGCGCAAAGCTTAAATTAACTAAGAGGGGAGGCAGAAGGAGGGGCCCCACGTTAAGGCCAGGAGTGGGCAAAGCCTCGGAAACAGGCGGTGCCGAAGACGATGTGCTTGCAAAGGAACGCCTTGTACTAGGAGCAGAAAACACGTAGCAGAACCAGACGGGCAGATCGGGCGGGCAGACCCTAGCGGGCGGGTCTGGGAGGTGGGACCAGGCGGCCAGGTTTTGCATGCGGGTTGCTGAAGCGTGAGTCCTGCATGAATCGCGAGAAGGACCTGAACGATAACGCGCTTGCCAATTCATTCGTGGGAAATGCCAAACCGAGAACACGATTCCCTGGTGTCGAGGGCGCGGAGCCTGAATGTAGTGCGAGGAAGTCCCACACGAGAGCGCTTTTCCTGCATAGGTTGTGAGGGCGTCCCGTGAGGGAGCGTGATTTTGGAATCTCAACTGCTGGGAAGTCTCCGGGCAGGAGTTGCTGTTGCTGCAGACTGGGGGGCCAATAAAACACAGCTTGAGCACGAGGGCTGGCCCGGATGAAAACAAAGAGGGCGCAAGCCCCGGGTGATTCCTGGATGTTGGTGGCGCGGCGTCCATAAATTCGCCGGCCCGACGGGCTAGAGGCGTGCTAAGATCTCCGGTAACTGGTCAACAATGTTTCTAGTTTGCGCGCGCGGAGCGGCCCCTGGGGGCCCCCCGACGAAAAAAAACCCGGCAACTAGCCGGGAGAAGCCCCCAGAACACTCCAGTGGAGGGCCATTTTTCGACACCCCTCACGAGGATCGTGGCCTCCGAGGGCGGAGCCGCAATCGACTAACCCCCTTCCCGCACCAAGAGGCCCCCCAAAGTCCCCCAAGAGGCCCTGGGGGCCCCCAAGACGCCGCCAAGGAGCCCCAAGAGACTCACAAGTTGTCCCCAAGAGGCTCCAGGGCCGGCGGAATGAGCGAAGCGATTCAATAATTTACGAGGAAGTACCACGCGAGAGCGCGATTGCCGCAAAATGTGCGAGGACCTCCTGCGCGAGAGCGCGATTTTGAGATACACTGTGAAGAAGTCCCAGACATCGGGCGTATCGAAAAAATCGAGACGGAGGTTTTTCTCAATTTTGGCCTCTCAGGGGCCCTCGCCAAGCCTCGGGACTGTCAAAGAAACGACTCGGGATGAGAACCCGGTCCAGGGAAGTGGTCGGGAGGTCGGGGGCCCGTGCCTCGACAAAAATCGAGTCGTCGGATGTGTGGGGTATCGGGCGGGAGCCGTTGTTGTAAACCGGGGGCCGGGGAAACCTTTTGAGGACCAGTAAACTTTTTTCCTTAGACAAAACCAATGCGATACCCGGAAGGAGCACTTCAATTGAAAAGCAGAGGGCACCGAGCAGGGGGATCAACAACCAATGTTCATTAGCAATGAACACTCAACAACTGCATCGTGTGTTTTCTTGTTCGGCGTTTCGACATTGGGCGGAACCCTGAGCAGGCGCTCCTGGTCCTCGTTGTAGGTGAGCTCCCCAGAGAGGCAGTCGAAGGACTGATTCGGCTCGCTGAGCCTCCTCATCTCGCTCAGCCAGTCCTCGCTGGGCGGCGCCCGGGCGTCGACGTCGACGTCGTCGTCGTTTTGCAGCTCTGGGGGCGTCTCAGAACCCTGATAGGGGCCGATTGGGAGGCGGCGATATCGCCATGCCCCGGAAACACGGATACGGTTGGGGTTCGACCACAGGAACCCGTCCACAAGAAACCCAACCCTGGACTCCCAGGACGTCCACTGATTTTTTGCGTGGGAGCGTCACGCTCTCCAGAGCAGAGCTCTCGAAACCCAAGAAGCCCAGGACACCCTGGAGTAGAAGAAGGAAAAACGCCATCAACATAAACTTTTGGCGCTTCGCGGGGACTTCTTGGATCTGCGCTGGACCCCCCTCACCAGCGCGCGGAGCGCGCCAGGGGTGGCTCAGGAGGCGCCGCCAGGGGGGGAGCCCAGCGCGGATGCAAGAAATCCGCGCGGAGCGCCAAAGGTTTGTTTACGGCGTGTGTGATTATTATTATTCCTTTGCTGTGTTCTTACTGTTGGTATTATTGTGACGATTATGGTTATGATGAGGAGTATTATTATCAATGCTACTCTGACGATGATTATTGTTCTTAGTTGTTACTACTACTAGACCTATTATTATATAATTATCACTCGTCCTCTTCTTCTTCTTCGAACGCAAGCCACAAAACCACAAACAAGGAAGGAAGAGATATCAAAAGAGATCAAAACCACACAACAGCAAAACCACAAAACCAAAACCACAAAACAACCACAAAAAAACAAAAACAACAACAAACAAAAAGCACAAACCAACCTTCCCGTTCGTCCTCAAAACCACAAACAAAAGAAAGGAAGAAAGATCCCCGGGGGCACCTGCCGGCCAGGCAGGCGCGCAGCGCCTTAACGGCCTCTGCCCCTGCCGCCCTCTTCGTGCTTTCCTGCCTCGGCGGCGGCAGGCCGCGTGCTTCTCTCGGCGGTGGACGAGCCTCCCTTTCGTAGACCTCCCCTTAGTGAAGCCGGCCTGGGACCGACACCGACGGACCTGGACCCGCAAAAACGAAGGCCGCGACGCCCTGCCGCGAACCGGAAACGGCCAACTCCTTCATGGACGGAGGAGGAGGAGGAGGCAGGGCAGGAGGTCTGTCCACCTCCGATTCTCGGCGCGGGCCCCCGCCGCGCGGCCGGCGCTCGCCACCGGCGGGGCGTGGCGCGCGAGAGGCTGGCGCTGCCCTCGCGTCGGGGCGTGTCCTCCCACGGGCGGATTTTTTGGGCCAGCGAGGAAAGCCACACACGCAAAACTCAAACAAGACCCCCGCACGGCCAAAAGCAATACAGTCGGAGCCGAGTGGACAGGACACGCGAGAGGACACAAGACCCGTCCGAGGGCCACATTGCCACAGGAATGTGGGAAGCATGGGTCGCGAGACACAGGACACAAGGGTTCCCCTTGATTTGGGAGGGTCGACCTACTAATCCGAGCCGACTGTAGAACAATCGTCCCCGGCTGTTCCTTGACTGCTTGTGAAGATTTCCCCTGTGGAAACACACCGCCCGACTTGAAGCTTTAGAGTCCCGAAACGGTGCAGTGACAGACCGTGAAGTGACCTCGAAACCCCGCAAGACCTCACCGCACGGTCCGCCACCGCACGGTTTTGGGACCCTGCAGAGGCCCCTGTCAACCGAGACGCCCTCGGAGAACCACCCGATCCCCAAAGCCGTGCGGTGACCCCGAAACCCCACCGACTCTCCGCACGGTGTGGTCACCGGAGGACGCGAAGGAGGAGGAAGAGGAGGAGGAGAAGGAGGAGGAGAGGAGGAGGAGGAGGAGGAGGAGGAGAGGAGGAGGAGGAGGAGGAGGATGAGAGGAGGAGGGAGGAGGAGGAGGAGGAGGAGGAGGGAGGAGGGAGGAGGAGGGAGAGGCCCAGGTAGGAGGAGGGAGGAGGGAGGACCCCGAGGAGGAGGAGGAGGAGCCGGCGCCCGTCCCTCCCGAGGAGCCGGCGCTGGACCACCCGAAGGGCCGGGCGAGGCGGGGCGCCCCGCTGCGGGGGCACAGCGGGGCCTCTCGGCGCCCCTGTCGTGCGCACGCCGCGAGGCAGCGGGCGCCCCCCCTTAGTGCCCTCCCTCGAGGACCCTCGACAATCGACAATCGAGGACCCCCTTGCCCTCCCTCGAGGACCCTCGATGGAGGACCCTTGCCCACCCTCGAGGGCCCTCAACAGTCCAGGGGCCCTGGGACACAGAAGCAGATGCACACACATATAACAGCATTCCCCGCGTTTTCCGATATTTCCCTAAATTTCCCAATCTTTCCTGTTGTTTCCAATCTTTTCCCGTATTGCCCTGTATTTCCCCATGTTCTCTGGATCACGGCCTCCCCCCCCCTTCCCCCATGCTCCCACCTTTTCTGGGGAATCGTCGGTTCCTTCTGCCTGTGTGCTCTTGTCCCTCCTGGGAAAAGCAACACGTGCGACCGCCAACGTGCGCGCCTGGCCCCCAATTAGCGCTTCCGGCGCCGGGGCCCGCGAGCACGCTGCCCGCGGGCGGCACGACGCACCCCGAGCACGACGCGCATCGACCGGGCGATCGCGAGGCGGCGAGCGCATCGCCGCAGGGGCCCGCCTCCTCGGCCCTCCCGTCTCGGGGATCTTCTGGCCCGGGTCAATCCAGACCCGGGTCAGCAGGAAGCCAAACACTGCAACGCAGGAAACCAAAAAAAACTGCAACGCAGGTCTTCGCAAAACCCGGGTCAGCCCCCATAGGCGCGGCCGCCACGGGCGGCCACGAGCGGCGATCGCTGAGCCGGGTCAGCCCGAGGGGGTCTTCGCAGGATCCTGCAGGACCCGGTGCCCTGGCTGACCCCCGTTCGCATGGACCCCCGCCTCTTGAGCCCCGACCGTCCCCCTCCTCCTCCCCCCCGGTGGCCTCCGCTTGACTACCTCATTACCAGACCACCCCAACCGAACCCGAAGACCCGAACTTCGGGGGGGGGGGGGTGGTAAGGGTTCCACATGTGTTCTTTCGATGTTTCCTGACCCCCCCCCACTGGAAATCGAGGGTAAATCTGAGCCTTCGGGTTGGGCTGGGGTGGTTTGGCGGGCGGTGACCGCCGGGCTCCGCTGCACGGTGCAGCCGCGCGCCCGCCCGCCGAGAGCCCTGCGCGGGGGCGGCGCAGAGCCAGGGCCGGGCCGCGGGCGGCGCGCTGCCGGCGGAGCTGCCGGGGGGGCAGCCGCGCGGTGGCCCAGCACGCGGCCCCGAGGAGCACGGTACCTCCTCCTCCTCCTCCTCCTCCTCCTCCTCCTCCTCCTCCTCCTCCTCCTCCTCCTCCTCCTCCTCCTCCTCCTCCTCCCCCTCCCCCTCCTCCTCCTCCTCCCCCCTCCTCCTCCCCTCCTCCTCCTCCTCCTCCTCCTCCTCCTCCCCCTCCTCCTCGTACCTTTGGGAGGCCGCCCTCCTCGCCCGGCCTCCCTTCCGCGAGAGCCGCGGGTCCTCGGGGGTGAGCTCGTCCGGGTGCGCCCCGAGCCTCGCGAGGAGCCTGTCGGCGACGACCGCCAGCGTGACCACCGCGTCGTATGCCTGCGCGGTGTAGCCCTTGCAGAGCAGGGTCTCGTTGTGGTCGCCGGGGACCCATCCTCGAGGAGGAGCGGAGAGAGGGCCAGCCGAGACCTCGGCGGCTCTCCCGCCAGATCCACAGCCGCCCAGAGTCGGTCTCACGAAACCTCCCGGGGTCCATCCTGCGCCGTTTTCCAAGCGGATGGGGGCCGTGGCGACGAGAAGCCTCCAGAAGGCCACAAACGACTAAAAATCCTGTCCCTCACCCCGGATGGCGTGCGCCCTGGCATACACATGATTTCGACTGGCGTTCGTCCAGGTTTCGACTGCCCCTCTTCGCCGTTTCGTCAAGATTTCGTCCACATGATGCGCAACTGTCCACCAAATAGGACGAGGTCTGAACGAAGCCCCCAGAACCGCAGGGAATGTGGGGACCCTTGAACCGGGTATTGAAGGTCGTGGTCTTGAGAGGCCCCACTCCCATCTGCCTAGCACAGGCCCCCACAACTCGTCGGGCCATCGCAGGATCCCCAGGGAGACAGCCCTGCTGGAGGAGGAGGACGTCACTGTTGCCCTGCCCAGGTCATCGCGAACACGCGAGCGGTGCTCTAAACTTCATAAGATGCCAGGGACCACGCAGCCCCGCCCCGGAGGGTGGCCGGGCGAGCGGGGGGGGGGGAAGCGAGAAGGCTCGGGCGTCCCCCGGCCTCCTGAGAGGTCATCCGAGCAGCCCCCGAAGACGCAAATTGGAAAACTTCTCGAAGGTTTCGGGGGCTTCCGAGCAGCCCCGCCGCCTTCTGAGAAGGCCTTCCCCTCCTCGTTCCCCCCCCCCCATCGCTCGCCGCCGAGAAACGGAGAGGCCGCGAATCCGCTCTCCGCCGACCAGCGTCCACCCCGCCTCTCTCGGAAGCTGGGCGAGGGCTCGCACATCCGTGGCTGCCAAAACGGCCTTCCCGGAAAAGCAGGACAGGCTCCTGACACGGAACCCAGCGCGCCGAGTGATGAAGGGCCGCCTTCCCGGAAGGAAGCAACAGCTTCAAGAAGCTCCGCTTGAGCAGACCCGGGCTTGCCAGACTTCGCCTGCCTGTGGACTCTCCCTCTAGGGGAACAAAAGATAGCATAATCGGAGGTCCGCGCGGCGCCGCCCCTGGCGCGCTCCGCGCGCCAGGGAGGGGGGTCCAGCGCTGATCCGAGAACTCCGCGCGGACCTCCGAGGTTTTATGTTTGTGCCACTCTTCGCTCCCCTACAAAAGCATTGCCCTCTCCCCCCCCCTCCTCCTCCTCCTCCTCCTCCTCCTCCTCCTCCTCCTCCTCCTCGTCCTCCTCCTCCTCCTGGTCCTCCTCCTCCTCCTCCTCCTCCTCCTCCTCCTCCTCCTCCTCCTCCTGGTCCTCCTCCTCCTCCTCCTCCTTCTTCAAACCTTCTTCAAACTGTCGACTCTCCATCGGCCCCCCGCGGGGCCCGCACGGGGCCGCGCCCTGCCTCCTCGGTGGGAGGTCGCCGGGACCGTACGAGGCGCGGCGGGGCGAGGCCGAGGACCCGTGGTGGGCACGCCCAGACCGACGACGGGCGGCCGCGGCCCCGGAGGACATTCGGGGGCCACGTGCGACCCCCACTCCAGATTTCGTAATAAAGGGAGGGGGGTCTCATTTCGGGGGGGGTCTCTTCCAGGCTATCTTGCAGGGCCTGGGGGGTCTGGGGACGATGTTTTGGAGGGTTCTCCCACGGGGGGGGGTCTGAAATGGCTTGTCTTGGAGGGTCCAGACACCCTCCCTTTTATTACGAAATCTGGAGTACCCCTACCCCCCACGATTTCTGAGGGAGAGGAGGGGGTTCACTTCGTTCGGGAACTCCCGATCGAAGTGAGCCCCCACCCTCCCCCTCGGACCGACGGCGGGCAGCCGCGGCCCCGGAAGACGTGCAGGGGCGCCCCGGAGGCGAGGAGTGGGCAGCAGAAGTTGCGGGACGGGGAGATGACCACAGCCACTGCTTCTTTGAAGGGGCCCCAGGACACACAAATAAATACACACAAATAAACAGATTCCCCATACTTTCGCATATTTTCTGGACTTTTGTCTTCCCCTCCACTTCTTATATTTTCCTATATCTTCCTGGGAATCGACGATTAATTGTGTCTGTGTGTTTTCTCCCCTCCTGATTATTGTTTGCGCCGCCTTCCAGCCGGCCGAAGAAGAAGCAGTGGCTGTGGTCCTTTCCCCGGCGCCAAGCTGCACGAAGATGACCACAACCGCTGCTCTGCTTCTGCTGGCTGGAAGCGGCAACCAAAGAAAAGCAGTGGCCGTGGTCGTTTTTTCGCGCCCCGCAGAAGTGGATCGCACCGAGGCGCGTTCGCCAGAGCTCCCCGCTTCCCGGAACCTGCAGTTCAGGGGCGCAGGAAGAGAGCGAGGGAGGGCTGCCGTTGTCTCGACTGGCCCGCCTCCGAGAGAAGGAAGTAAAGGAGGAGGAGGAGGAGGAGGAGGAGGACGAGGAGGAGGAGTAGGAGGAGGAGGACGAGGACGAGGAGGAGGAGGAGGAGGAGGAGGAGGAGGGGGGCCAATGAAGAGAGGGATCGGGAGGAGTGTGGCCGAGCTGACCGAGGAGCCCGTGACTGTCCTTTGAACTCAGGGTTCCCGTCGCACACCGCCGGCGGGGATCCGCTCCTCCTGTGGTCCAGGCACAGGTCCATCTCTGAGAACTCTGGCGTGAGCGTGCTGGGCATGTCCTCGGCCCACTTGGCCACGTAATCTTCGAACCGGGGCCCCTGAGACGAGGCAGCGACGTAAATCGCACCCACAAAAGCATAGACCCGGGTGACATCACCAATCAGCTGATTTCCGGCCAAGCCGTCCGCGCCGAACCATACCCACCCATCGCCATTCACCAGATCGTAATCAAAGGCAGCGCTGAACAGGTCCCAAGCTTCTTCGTAGATGCAGAACGCAACCACCACGCGACAATCGCTGACTCTGACAGCCTCGAGTGCTTTGTTCATCATGGGCCGGTTCCTGTCCGAAACCGCGACGCCACCCTCACCGCTATTCGGGATGCTGTACTTTGTTACCTGCATGCCGAACTCTGACTCTGCAGACGACGTGAAGTCCGCTGCCTGCCCAGACTGGAAGGGGGCATCGAAGTAAAGGACATTCACGCTCGTGAAACCCAGGCTCGAGATTAGGCCTGAGAGAACCTTCATCACAAGAGAGTCCGGGGATACCGTTCTGAAGTACTGCGGGAACTGAACCTTGTTGGACAGGTCCGCGTTCGTCGACGCCCAGGAGATTTGCGGGATTCCAAAGACGGACAAGATAGTGCTCGACGCTTTCGAAGCACCTGACCCATTCGGTCCAAGGAACACCTTGATCATACTTTTGACCGTACTGTTCGAGAAGAAATCGAGCACAGCGCTGGCCGCCCCGATGCCGCTCGACCCCGTGTCCTTGATGCCATACTGCAGCTCGAAATCGCTGGCCAGACTGGCGATTGCTGGGCAGAATGTTCCATCACGTCGGTTCACATGGGACACAGCGATGCGCATAGACATGTACCGCGAAGGGAAACAGCCGTGGTTTGTGAAAGGCCCGATCAGAGGCAACCAAACAACGGGTGCTCCCTCGGTTGGAACGCCAATCTCCCCCCACGGCGGGTACTCTTTCCTCCACGATCCATCGCTGGCATCTGCGGTCGCAAATTTGGTGGCAGTACAGGCCACGAACAAACGCCACGCTGCGAAGCCCATGCTACGATCGCTCGGGAATGATCGGGCTGGCTGTCCGCCTCGTGCTGGAGGCCTAGCCGCTCATCGCAGGGCCCACCTCCAGCAGAAACCGAAGCTCGCAACTAAGGACTGCTGCTTGAGCAGTAGCGGCGGCGACGGCGAATCGAGTAGCATCAGCGAGCCGCCAAACAAACATCATCAGCCTGCCGAAACCGAAACATTCGAGACACGGGCGGAGACAGTGCCCATGGCGGCTGCGCTCCAACGCGACTGTCGTTGGAAGCACTGAGTAGGGGAACAAAAAGTGGCATAAACATAAAGACTCTGAGGTCCGCGCGGATTTCTCCTGTCGGCGCTGGACCCCCCTCCCTGGCGCGCGGAGCGCGCCAGAGGCGGCGCCGGAGGCGCCGCCGGGGGGCCCCAACGCCGATCCGAGAAATCCGCGCGGACCTCCGAGTTTTTATGTTTATGCCACTTTTTGTTCACCTACTGAGAGAGCGCGCAGGGAGAGCGAGAGAGGGAGAGGCAGAGAGACTCTTCTCCGCCAGCGGCGAGGCAGAGGCAGTCCGCACCAGCGTGAGCCACCAGGGCAACCGAAAGGCGAACTGCCCGGCGTGCAAGCAGAAGAAACAAAGAGGAGGGCGGCCGCGCGAGGGGAGGGAGAGGAGGGGAGCGCTCCGACGTGGAGGCAGAACGACGCGAGAGCGAGAGAGAGAGAAGCCGAGAGAAGCCCACGATGTGCGCAGGGTGGCCAACTGTCGATGCACACGGCCGGCCCCCATTCCCCAGCCACCCCCTCCGCCCTCCGCCCGCCGCGGCCACGTCCATCCGTGGCGGCCTTTTTCGAGCAGAAGGACGCACTTCTGGCTTCTGCTCGGGTCGGGCGAAAGGGGGGGATAGCAAAGGAGGGTTTGAGAATCAGCTCACGTCGCTGATTTTCCCGGCGCCTCCCCGCGCCAGAGGCGGCTGTGTATCGAGAAGAATGGGCTCCTCGGTGGGGCCGGAACCAGCTGAATGCAGCAAACTTCCTAACCCCCCCTTTCCCAATCCACCCCTTTCGTCCGGCCCGATCTGCAGACTCACGCGACGCCAGGAGGAGGGCAAGCAACATCCGGTGAGGGAACACCGATAGTCTCTGAGGCGCAGCGGCGCTGGAAGACCACCTCGGGCGCCGGGGCCCTCTACAGTACGAGCGCTCCGGGGGGCGCTCTGAGCACGCTCTTGGAGTGCTCTGGCACGGTGTCTGTCCTCGTCCTCCTCCTCCTCCTCCTCCTCCTCCTCCTCCTCCTACAGGCGGACCTTTGACTTCGGACTCCTAGCCTACAGCCTTTAGCTCCTCCTCCTCCTCCTCCTCCTCCTCCTCCTCCTCCTCTTGGAATGCTCTGGAACGGTTTTTGCACGTCCTCCTACCGGCGGATCTTTGATGGAAATTCAAAAGTATCCGAACCATCGCCAACCATAAAACAACAGTAGAAGAGTCGTCCCCGGACCATATTTGCACTATGTTTGAATTTGCCTCCTGTAGAGGCACCCGCCTCAGTCCGAGCCACGTCCGACAGATACCGTGACCCCCGCGGCAACAAGGAGGCTGGCTGGACGCCCGAAGAAGAACGGCAGCGGCGTAAGCCAGGAGAGCCCAGAATCGAATCAATAAGTCGGATCGGCGATCGAAATTAATCGGATCGGCGGAAATCGGCAGCCGAGTCGGGAAAAGTCGAATCGGCGGAAATCGACAGGCTAGTATGCGTCCAATAAGAAATCGGACCCCAAATCGGAATCCGAAATCGAATCGAATCGGAATCGGAATCCATCGAGGCCGGATCGAACCGAACCGGAAGAATCGAAACGCGCCCCGGCAGGCCCGTGGACATCCGCCGTCGCGGCCTGCTCGCGGCTTGGAACCTCCTGGCATCGTGGACCCCGCCCCGGGGACGGGCTGGTAGCTCTCCCAGGCGACGCCGTGGCGTGGTGGCCTCGTCACGCGGACGATGCCCGATCACCGCACAGAGCCTCGGAACTGCGGGCCCGGTGGAGAAGCGCGCCGCCCCCCCCCCTCGGACCAGGAGGGCCGACGAGAAGGATCGGCTGGGAGCCCTCCCGGGCGACAGAGGACCCGACGTGTTGAAACAAGAGACTCCCAGCCAGAGCTGTTCTCAAGAGCATCTCGTGCAGACCACCAGAGGTTCTCAGACCAATATCTGACAGGGGCCCATCGGCAAACCAGGGCGCTTCGCCACTGCCCAAGCTCTTTCGCGGGATGGTGAACATGAACCATACCTACATCGCATTGAGGGGGCGGCCTGGGAAGGGGCATGCCACTCCGTGGCCAAAGCGCTGCCCCGAGTTGTGAGGCGGCGATAGCCGCGCGGCGACCTTGCAAGCAGACCTGGACGCGTGGTTCAGGGTCGGATATCATGCAGAGGTTCTCGTGACGCTGAAGGTCAGTGTCTCCTGTGTACGATCTCGACCCCCCTGGACCCCTACATTCTGGGAAAAGTGTGAAGGGAATCCGGCCGCGGGGGTCAAAAGTGCGACCATCATCAAGACACCGAGGACAAATGCGCTTCCCTCCTTTCAGTGCTAATTTAATTCTATGGGAATGAACTTTCTGGAGGTGTGCGCTGATTCCTCGGGTCGGCGCTGGACTCCCTCCCAAAACCTTTTCTCCCGGCGCGCGGAGCGGCCGGGGCGGCGCCGGAGGCATTACCGAGTCTGTGGGGATGGGGCGCCAGCACCGAGCCAAGAAATCCGCGCGAACTTCTGACAACTTCGCTTACTCCAGGTTGTTCCAAAACCACGTCGCTCCAGGCCCTTCCACCCCTCTCCACGCGCACCGAACCACCCCGCAGCGTCACCCACCCGCTCCCCCCACCGCCACGTGCTGAACAGCGCGACCGAAGACCGACCGCACCGACCGCGAAACCCAGACCGACGAAAGCTGCAGGCAGCCCTCCATGCCAGCCGACCGGACCGGACCGACCGAACGCAACAGACCGCGACCTGTGGCGTAACCCACTTTCTCCCGCAGAGTCAGGTGATCCCAGAATCGAATCGAAATAAATCGAATCGGCGAAAATCGGCCGCCGGGAAAAGTCGAATCGGTGGAAATCGGCAGGCTAATATGCCTCCAATGAAACATCGGAACCGAAATCGGAATTTCAAGCCGAATCGAATCGGAATTGGAAGCCATCGAAGTCGAAGTCGATTCGAATCGAAACGTGCCCTGCACAGCCAGGTCACCGCCACGAGGAACCTGTACTCCAAATCCCATATTAATCGTCCCCCGGGTTCGGTTTTTTAAGGCGCCTTTTTTGTAACTGGGGGGGTCCGGTGTATTAGGGCGCTTTCTGTGGATTGGAGCTTAGAGGGTCCGGCTTATAAAGGCGCCCCATCGAAGAGGGTGGTTCCGGAACATTCGGTCGCATTTGGGGGGGGTCGATTAGTAAGGGATTTGGAATACCGTCCACCGGACGAACGCGATCACCCGCGCCCGCAGCCAAAGCGATGCCGACGAGCGTCCAGCCCCCTGGAGGGCGGGAGGCGCCTGCGTCGAGCCGGGGGGGCCGAGATCGACGCGCAGCGTGCGCCCGATCGGGCCGCATCGGCAGGGATCCAGGACCGAATCGGACTGTTAAGAGGCAGCTGCTGGGAGGTCTTCGTCGGAAGGACTCTGGAAGATGCAGCCCCTGCGGGGGGCTGTTGCGCAAGAGTGGGCCTCGCATGGAGCGGGATTGAGCCGGAGGAAGCGGGATTGAGCGGGATCACGCTGGATGAGGCGGGAGGGAGCCAGACTTCGGGCCAGGGCAACATCAGAATTTGACCTCCCCGGAGAGTTGCAGCCGAAGGACTGGCTCTGTCGACGCGGGCAGCCACTGCCGTGCAGGCATCGGGCCGCATCGGATCGTCGGAGGCGTCGGAGTCGAATCGGATCGGGTCGGCTGGACTCGGCGTCGAATCGGATCGGTCGGGTCGACGAGGCATGGCGATCCAACCCCCCCCGATTTGGTGGGACTTTCGACTGGACGACACCTCTGGGGCCCCGCCCGGGGATACGCGATGGGGAGCGCCCACCCTCGAAAGGGATGCGTCCGACCAAATAGCCCCCCAAGAGTGTGTTCGGCTCCGAGCTCCCCCCCTCGTTCCGAGACTGCACGCTTGGGGGGAGGTCGGGGATGGGGGCGCTGGATTGGTCTGGAGAGGGTTTTCGCCTCGCCGCACCAACAACACACACCCATACCCATAGGGGGGTCGGAGAGGGCTATGGGCTATGGGTGCGTGTTGTCGGACGGGTGTCCCCGCTCGAACGGGAGCGTTCCCTAGGGTCCGACAACCCGCATCCATACCCATAGCCAGCCCTCCTCCCAACGACCCCCCTATGGGTATGGGTGTGTGTGTTGTTCGTTCGTCAATTGCCGCCTCGTGCGCTGGGGTGGGCCCGACGAGGCTCCGCCACGCTGCCGCCCGATGGCCGCCGCGTTGCCGCCTCGTGCGTGCTGCGCGGGTCTGGCGGGGCCTCGCCAAGCTGCCGCCGCCCGTGGCCACCTCGCCGCCGCCTCGTGCGCGGGGCGGGAGGTCGCCCGCGGCGCGGCCCTCTCCCCCATGGGGCGGACGCTTTCACGACGCGCGAGCGCGATGCAACGGCGTGTGGCGCGATGCTTCGAGGCAGAGTGCACGGGGCCGCCGGACGCAGCGGCAAGGAACACACAGATGGAACCTGGCTGGCGCCGCAGATCAGGAGGAGGAGGAGGAGGAGGAGGAGGAGGATGAGGAGGAGGATGACGAGGAGGAGGAGGAGGAGGAGGAGGGGGAGTGGGAGAGGGAGGGGGAGGGGGAGGGGGAGGGGGGGGCTGCCTGCCAGATCGAGATCGGCTCGCGGCGGGGCGCCGACGCGAGAAAAAGGAGGGCCCAGAGGGGGCAGAGCGTGGGCGCGGGCCCGGCGGTCTGCGAGGAGGGGGGGGGGGAGGCGAACGAAGGAGAACCTCGGCAGCGTCCGCCGGCCTCGGAGGACGCCCGCCCCGTCTCAATGCGGGCGTCGACACGCAACACGAGGGTCCCGAGGGCAGAGCGTGGGCGCTGGCCGGGCGGCCTGCGAGGAGGCGGAGGCGAGCGGGCGAAGGACCTGGGCAGCGGCCGCCGGCCTC